TCTTCAAAGACCTTTGCTTCATACTCTAGGAGAGAAAGCAGATGATTGTCTGTTTCTGCCCCATTCCTTCTGTGAATATTGAAATTTTTGGCTTCTTATCCAGTAGGCTGATCGTACTTGTATAGCAAGGCTTCAGATTTGTGAGTTGAAGGAATGTTTCACCTTGGCAGTTAGGTGAATGTGAAGATTGGCTTAGAACCAAATCGTCCATCACAAGTTTATGGACTCTGGTTGTGTTTTCAGTACAAGCCTTTCATTTAACCTCGGCATATGTAAGGAATATAGTGGTTTATTTATAAGATTGCACCAGCTTGTTGTAAATGTCGATTCTGGGTGGTACTTCTTCACTAGTGCTTTCTTTAGAGCCAAAATGATTCGATTCGGTTGTTCATTGCGGTTAATTACGATTGAAGTAGATTGTTCCAAAAACAGTGAATCAAGGTTTAGAGAATGAAATACGAGTTTAACCGACAACACCTAGTATGCATACTATGGTGACCACACTTGGCGAGCTATAGTACCTATTTTCAGTTCAATGGGTTACAGAATACTTCTGCCGCACTGTTTATACTCATTCGATAATTAGTGGAAGGTAGATCAAAACGGAAAGGGTGAGAGCAAAAACCCATTCTCTATACTTGGTAATTTGCAAAGAAACTCTCTCCGAAAAGAATCATGGACCGACAATCAACTGTTACTTCATTTCAACCGCTATGGTCATTCTGTGTATTGTGGGGATATAAAATCACCGAAAAATATAGGGTGTAAAATACTTCCAAATGTTGACAGCAATGTACTTTTATGATGAAAAATACTAACACAAAGTAAATAGTAGTAAATGCATATTATTGGTAACCATAGAACAACAAAGCAAAGTCTCTTCACGAACTGCTATGTTCGCAGTCCTTGAAGCCTTCTAGCGATCAACAAATTATTCTTTTTGGCAAAAAACCAGAAAGTCCGCAACCGACGAAAAATTGCTCGTAGTCCACTGGCCAGCCGCGTTAAACGCTTCGTATCCTAGTGATTACCAAATGGGCGGAGGAGTAATCCATGATATCCAGTCCACTCTCTCTATAATGAGAAGCGCAGATTATTTTATACGTTCTCCTTCGCCGTATTGAATCAGCAATACATGATTAGTTCATACAAAACTATTGGCTAAATCTTGAACAAGGCCAGTATTTTTGTTAACCATGAAGGAATAGCCGTCACCTTGACGCTGATTTGTATCGTTGACTGCACTAAACACACTGCCGTAGACTACAGTGGTGTGTCTGTGCCCGCCAACACGAAACTGGTTGGATTAGCCGGATTCCGCATTTCCGCTCTATTTCCATCGTGTCTGGCGCACCTAAGCTTCTCGAAAAAGGTGTGGTATCGATTTATCGGATACAAACTTTTACGAGAACTGTCGTGTGACGACGTGCATTACCTATCTGTTAGCGAACTGCTTTTTCTACAGGCTGTCAAACATTTTTCGAACATCGAATTGGTTTTTTGCTCACATCCACTAGTCATCGGTATACTACATCGTTCTCAAGTGATCCATAGGCTAATCACAGGATTTGTCGCCGTCACAGAAATCGCTGTTGTGCTGGAGAAATGCGAATTAAGGAATGCATTAGAAATCAATAAGATCCAGAAGGGCTGTCGAATTCATGTGGTGAAGACCAGGATTCGAGCAACAATTACTTGCGAGCAGCACTCATTATATCGGTGATAAAGGAGGATGGTAGATCCCGGGATCATAAGGTACTTGCAAAGTGGAAAACCACTTGCAAATTGGACTACCTTGGTGGATGAAAGGTTGCGGGACATCGAGGAAGGAGTAGTAAGAATAAGAGCAAGAGGAACAAGTAGTGCGAGTCATGCAGGTCATATATGTGTCTCAGTATCTAATCATCATCAACACATTCATTAATAGGAGATTGTAGTTGTGCTGCATTTTTATACAATTTTGAGGTATCTGGTTTTCTCCAGGTGACATTCAGGACGTCCAATGTTCTTTCTTAACTACTTCCACTGCTATTTATTACCAAGAAATCCAATAACCTTATTTATTTATTCTATATGACCCGTCTTCAGGTCTACGGTGCAGATCCCAGCACTTCTCACAATCGATTCCTTTCCTCGCACCCATTATCCATGATGATTTCCCAACTTTTTTTGTGTGGTTTCGGTTTCCACTTGAGGATTTTCATTTCATCTTGAATGTCGTAGAATGTTGGACGAACGATTCTCCCTGGAGTCCTGAGATAGCCGAGCTGGAGCGTTCCCAGATCCGATGATTACACATTCGAAGCAAGCGAAAATGAATTAGGTTACCATTGGTTATCTATCGAAATGTAAATATTTTTGGAAGTACTCTAGTTGTTGTCTTACTCTTTCAAAGACTATTTGGATGAATGTCCTGCTTGAGAAATGTGGGAAAAAATGAATGAGAATGATTCTTTTATTCCGATGTTCGATCTCTGTCACGGAGTGCAACAGACATTTTCCACTGTAGGGTAAGCATCCCTCATTCGTGCGGTGTTCCACTGACGAAAAGATTCATCTCGGTGCGAATACGAAGACGCCACATCGATAAGAGGAACAATTGTGGACTATCGACTCGGACAATCGGCTTTGATGAAGTCGAAAGGTTAGCCGAATAAAAGTTGTTTATCATCCTCGTGCAAGCTTAACAATTTAGAACAATCTGAACATTATTTTCATAAGTTCTAACGGTTTGCCAGAGGAGTTTGGAAAGGAAAGAACTCGCATTTTGTATTGATGAAATGGAAATATTTGAAAGTCCTTGATGATCGGACATTCAATGGAGGGTGGAAAATATCGTTGCTGGACGATGACACCAATGTTTGACCACTAAATTGTGGGCCATCTGACAAACCGGTTGGTCCTCTACTTTCTAAATAAGTTTGTTCAGCAAGTATAGAACTCTCGTGGAGGCTGTAGTTGCATAAGTGATCACGACCTTGACCATCGCAATTCAATTCGCCGAAAAAATTCCAAAGGTGTAATAGGAAAAACGTTCACGTCATTTTGTCCAATTATACACTATCTGTTTAGAAAAACTGGTTTCCTATAGATTAATGACCGTATTGAAAGGACTGCTGCCTGCTCTGAAGTCTTTCCTTTCGAAAAGAAATCACGCGTACTATTATTGTAAACGGACTTTCATTTAACATCGGTATAAATGACCAATCTACCTTATTTCATTGTTAACTTTACACGAGGTTGTTACCTCATATCGGTTAACGTTCCAACGTCTTCGCCTTCATCAGAGCAGATAAACCGAGTCGATGGTTACAGTTGTTATCGTGACCTGACACGTGACGTGGCGTCTGCGACGGTGAAGACATACTTGGTAAGAGCCTCGTGTTAGCTGATCAGTGAAATAAGGTACATTAATCAGGCCTACTATTGAAGCAACTGAATAGGGAATGTAAAACATGAGAGCATGTGCTTTTGAAGAGAAGTCATATAGGTAACAACCATATGAGTGAGATAGTATGATGAACGAGTCTAGAATTACTACATCTGATTTTGAATATAAACAGATAGTCCACTGGAAAATGTTCCTTGTCATCTGATAGAAGCAACTATGAGAAACGTGAATTTAAAGTTCAAATTGGTTAGAATAGGTGGAATAGGCACTAACATCATAACAGCGACACCTTGAGAAACGTGAATTTAAAGTTCAAATTGGTTAGAATAGGTGGAATAGGCACTAACATCATAACAGCGACACCTTCGCTGAATACTAAAAGGAGGATAAAGCTCTCGGCGTTGATCTATTCTTGAGGGATGCGCCATGCATACGACTTCATTAAGCATCGTTGGAGGTTATTGAATGACCTTTCAATATCTGACCTTTACAATGACTCGCGGTGGTCTACCGAGGCATCGAGGCAGTAACGGTATCCTTCCAGACAAATCTGGTCCCAATTTTCCGACTCTGGAAGGATGGAAGAATTAGTCAGCCATGGGCGCGGGGATCGATCATCCTATGTGTATTGCAGAGCGCCTCCGACCACTGCGCCACACGCGCCCTTTTATCTGCTGCGTATTAAGAGAGTATAAAGCAGTCGAGTTCCTTCTAATAAAGTCGAACCTTATAAATTAACACAATAGTTAGAACAAGGGCGATCACTATGATGTTGTTTTCCACGTTTGGTGTTGGTTTCGAAACATCAACCATTATGGGACGAATAACAATTATAGCAATATTCAGATAAGTGCTTAAACACTCAGAGGTCTTTCTACACGATTGAGAATGTTTGTGTCATGACATTGGCCACTTTTCGTTTTGATTTCCCACTAAGCGAAGTCAGGAAGACGAAGATCTCCCTTTGCAATCATGCCAAGTGCGAAGATTCAAGTTCACCGAACTGGAACAGGACCTGTTCATCAAAACATCGAATGGATGAGCAACGGTTGAAGCCACACGAATCATGCTAGTATGAAAATCAATGAGATATTCTCTAGTTCATAAAATTCGCAAGCTTCTGCACCAGTTTATAAGCGTTATTGTCAGCGCGACAAACACCTTTGTCGATTATGAGATTGCATTATAATTGGAGAAGCATTTTCCATAGTGAATAGAAGGGTTTTATGGTCCATGAAAACACTCCAGACCGTAAAAAGCTCATTCAACGCGTGAAAAGACATCAAGTGCATTCTCAAATTGGAAAATTCGTTGCCAGTTTAAGTCTTGAATACATCATTTGGAGTAGATTCGCAGTATTTTGGAAAAACGCTAGTTTCGAGAACACATCATTAATGAATGTAAAACGCTACGGATCTATCGAACCTTTACACGACGTTCATGTGGTTCCTTCTCATAAGGTTTAGCGTCGCACTTGTTGGCCGAACTTTGTAGTCGTGGCTCATTACAACTTCGTAGGCGTGGTCATGGAGTAGCGTATCTTGAAATTACACGCCAACACGTCACCTCACTACTTCAGAGAATTCGTTTATTCATACTAGAGTCGACGATGATTATTCCTTTCATCTTGCTCTTCTTCTCATTCACTTTCGTTGATAGTGGAGCCGTTGGAGGTAGGCGCCAAATTCTGTTCAGCATAAGAGATATCGTGGATTCTTTAGCAAGTACGGTACGATAAAACCTATAAAGAAAAGAGATCACATAATTACAATGATGGTGAGATATTTGCAAAACTCCTGACCGCAGGTGCTTGCGATGAGGAACAAACACACTATTACTCTTTCCAAGGGCTAACGCGTTCACCACCACACCATGCGTGTCCTTCATTTCGCCTTTCTCTTAGCTAGTTTTCTATTTAACAGTACCAAGGTGGCATATTTATGACAAGTTCCAAAAGTATAATAGCTATATTTGAAAACATAGAGTAGAACGGGATAAAAACGATTCGATATTGGCAACCACAGGCTTAGTATAATGGGAGCTCAACGGAAGAAGTCCGTGCTAATATTTGACGATCATAATGCTTCACTGCTCGCTGTACACACCCATTTATAATGCCGAGAAAGATAAAGAAGTAGGAAAACTTTTCCTGAGAGCATTTCCTAGGATTAAATGCAGCGCTTCATAAATATTAGCTGTTACGTGAAAGACATAAAATTTTAGGATTTATCACAAGATTTGTCTTTGCTCAATTATAGATGGACACAACAGATACTTTTGTTTGCTTACTCCTTTCTTTACATTCAACCTCTTGAAGTGAATCTATTCACGTGTAATCCTACTAGTCGAATAGCTCGAGCGAAAGCGAATAAGATTTTCCGAACGAAAATGTCAAACTTCTCAGCTTGGGAGACCATGCAGCGTGATGAACACTTGCTGTTCATCGCCAAGCACGTAGCGTGGCAGTAAACAATGCACTAGTTGGAATGCAGAGATAACTTACTATCCATTCAGAATGCCGATCGGAATGCGTCGAGCAAAATCTCTACAAAATTGTCCGAGTTCATCTAAAGGTAATATGAACCCTTTGAGCCGGTTTTCTATGGCCAAGAAAACGCGATTGAGCTTTAAGGAAGACCTCGTCATGGTGGGAATCTGCAAAAACACCTCGGTATCAATCGGTTCGTTATCCACAGTGATTCCATTCGTTTGTCATCGTAAACATGGAATTTGGAAATTGGACAATGCTGTGAGTTCTGTCGGTTTATTGCGAGCTTTCAAGCAAAACCACATCATTTACATTTCTACTAATATTTGACACCTTTTCTCATCATAAAATCTAAGGATTAAGGCTACTGAACTATCGATACTCACCTAGTATTAAATCCAGTATAAATTATAATTAACTTGCATTTTATAAATAATATAATCGTCCCAAGATCGACTTTCTCTTAACCTCGGCATTGGAATATGAATGTGTCGTTTTCTTGCTCAGCAATCGCGAGGTTTTTAAACAGCATACATTTACTTCCATAAAAACACAATACAATACAACGCTAGCTGACGTTTCGGCAGTATCGCCTTCTTCAGAGCCGCTTTTTCGTGACTTCCAATGAGGAAGTTTAGAACAGCTGATTATAGTCGCATGTGGTTGACGACTGCACCATCCCACATCAAAAATATTTTTTTTGATTTTTGATGTGGGATGGTGCAGTCGTCAACCACATGCGACTATAATCAGCTGTTCTAAACTTCCTCATTGGAAGTCACGAAAAAGCGGCTCTGAAGAAGGCGATACTGCCGAAACGTCAGCTAGCGTTGTATTGTATTGTGTTTTTATGGAAGTAAATGTATGCTGTTTAAAAACCTCGCGATTGCTGAGCAAGAAAACGACACATTAATATAATCGTCTTCAAGCCACTAATGGTTCTATTTCTGAGAAATTTTTGAAGGCAATTTTCTTGAAATTTTCCACCACAAGTTGTTCTGATCCTAACTATCAATATTATGAATGACACTTGACGCTTGAGCGGCCCGTCCTCACTGATTGTGCAGGCCCCCGGCATAATCACCATTTATCGGGAATTTGCTGGTTAAGCCATTGTGGTTCCCTGGGAACCTGAGATCAGCCTGGCCAAAGTTTGCCCCAGGTCTTCGCCACCACGGGCAGTCGCAGCCCATGTGGATCAGAGGGAAATTTGCCACCATACGATTTTAATACCAGGGTGGTGGCGGATCCTGGTATTGGTTTACTCTTAGCCAGGCTTCCTGATGGAAACGCCGGACTCCTTCTCAGCTTGGAAGACCCTGGTGGGGGGACAAAACCTCCCGGAGTACATCGCAATCTGACAGCCAGGAACACCTCCCAGCCACGATGAGGCGGTAAACCGTTGAGAGGAATATTATGAATGAGTGCAAACGTGTGATGCCGCGCTTTGCAGAGTTGAGTTCAATTTTTTTCGTTTAGCAAGGGTTTCATTGGTGAAGCCCTTTGTATATCTATACCTCAGTTTCAAAAAAAAATGAATATTAAAAAAAGTCGAAACTGGACTAGAACTGAACTGCTTAGCAACGAATTAGAGAACGCCAAGCCTATACGGCGTCATCACTATCAACTCAAAAAAAAAACGTGTTTCCACCAATTTTACAAACGTCTCCTTAGAGAGCAGAAAAATGGTTGATTATTTTCTTAGCGCACAAGAACTTATAGTAAAAGGATAAAGGGTATTGCTCTCGGCGTTGATCAATTCTTGAGGGATGCGCCATGCATTCGTCTTCATTAAGTATCGTTGGGGGTGATTGAATACATATCTGGCCTCAACAATAACTCGCTGTGGCCCACCGATGTGTCGAGCCAGTGCTTGTGTCCTCCCAGACAAGTCTGGTAGCAATTTGGCGACCCCGGCGCGATGGAAGGCTTAGTGGGCCATGGGCGCTGGGATCGATTCTACGTGTGCGTTGCAGGACGCCTCCGACTACTGCACCACACGCGCCCTTACAGGAACTTGTAGATCCAGTTTATTATATTTTATCTACTATGAAATTTACTATATGGAGTGAACTAGATATCGTAAACTGCCTAGTTTAATTTACTTCTTCACCATTACCAAATGTGCCCTAACACCAAAGGGAAACAACTAACTGGTCAAAACTGTGATAATAGTTACGGAATAATTGTCCACTCCTCCTAACAGTTTACCGTCTCATCGTGATTGGGATATGTTCCTGGGTGTCGAGCTGCGATATACAGCGGGGGATTCATCCCCTGGCATGGTCTCCCATGCTGATAAGAAGTCCGGCGCTTTCAACAGGAAGCCTAGCTAAGAGTAAACCAATGCCAGGACCGTCCAGGTATCAAACTAGTCTCATGGTGGCAGATCTCGCTCTGATCCACAAGGACGACGACTACCTGTAGTGGACGACCTGGAGCAGACTTTGGCCAGGCTGATCTCGGGACTCCAGAGAACTATAATGGCTAAACCAGCAAATCTCCCAAAAACGGAGGTTATGCTGGGACTCCCACAATCAGTGAAGACAGCCCATCAAAGCATCCAAGTAAATAATTGTTTGATACTCCAGTGTGATATCGTATTATCATTTTCATTACCTATGTCAAAGTAGAAAGCCAGCAGTCTTGCATGGCAATAGATGTCAAATAGGTGACCTACTGTAATATGAACGTATGCGTTACCGAGTGCTTAAAGGTGCTCTGCAGTACACGCCAGATCGGTCACTGGTTCGATCGAGCGTCTCGGGCTCACCAATCCTACCATCTTTCGGGTGGATTATTTGCTACTGGACTTGTTTGGGAATAGCAGTAATGACTTGAGACATCGGTTAGCTGCCGAAAGTCGTTGTACAAACCAGATGTGCCATTCATAAACAATGCTTGATGAAGTCAAAGGCATGGGTTATCGTAGCATATCCCCGAGGGATTGATTAGTATCCGACGCTTCAAAATAGCCTTGCGCTTTTACTGTGACATATACTCATGAAATAAATTGGATAGGTGTACGTAGCACAAAACGCTCTATTCAATTTCACAGAAAATGTTGAGGCAAAAATCGTTTAATAACTTCTACGTGTGGTGAATATCTTGGGTCTCTTTAGTAGTCGAGCCGTCTTCTTCTATTGAATTCTACGCTTCGGCATCAAAAATAGCTGAATGCACAGACTGCGTAACCGATCAAAAATGTCGCATGAACGTAATGAGTACTCATCAGATACCAATCTAAATGGGATCGAAACCTGCCGATATTCCGCTTTTCGATTTCACGATAATACATTGTCACTAACGCTTGCGTACCCGAAAGCAACTACATCTCTTGACTCCAAATAATCATATCCTAGTCTATGTTGACCCGACACTGGTTTAAATAGAAATCGTTACAACCTCTAAATCTATGCAAACAACGTCCAACTTTGTCTGAGTTCGTATGGATCTACTACTTTTGCTAAATGTTGTTTCGGACAGCGAGGTGGCTCACCAGTAGGAACTTTAAAGAACCAGATACAAGGATATCCCCCATTGCACCTTTAGGACTGCCTAGTTTGCACTCAAAACTTCAAGGATACAAAGTTGGTTTTGGCTTTTGCTGGATTAAGTTTTAAAACAATTTAGACTTAAAATGACATTCTGCAAAGAACCAATACTATTAGAGTGGGAGTTATAGATCTCTTCTATATGTCTTTCAAGTTCTAGATTCGGAACAATATTATTGAGAAAATAACCGCAGTTGTCTAAAAACCGACTCCGTCGCTAAAGCATTAATGTCTAGCATTTATACAGGACGAGGAAGGAATCGTGTACTTCAACATCAGGTGTCCTCCAAACGACCCCGTACATCCAACACAGCTCTCAAGATGTCCACAACCATTCTAGTCGACATACACTGACTAGTCTAATTAAAATCTTTCCTTGTTGTACATTACTACCACAATTCTGGCACTCCAATACCCTCGATCTCTGTGTATAAATAAATATTCTAACTTATTCCATGTCGAAAGCATCATATAACGGTTAATAAATTCTGTGATGGAAAAAAATTGTGGATCGCAGGTAGAAATGATATATGTCGGGCCCAAAAAGCACAAGCGAACCGAAACGAAGGAAAAATCTGATCGATTGTACATAGGAACAGGATCGAAGAATTTCTGTGGAAATACAATAGAAAACAAATAACGACCTATCTCGGAAAAGAGGAAAATTTGGAATGGGATGTACGAATAAAAGAATATTTAACAAATAAATCACAATCTTGTAGAATCACTGGGTGATTGCATTACAATGTATCGTACCTTAAAGTATTTACTATGTAGGCCTTAGAATAATAAATACTAAGAGAACAACCAATGAGAACCCTAAGGCCTAAAATGAATGTAAAATTCAGAAGAAAAAACATCGCTATTGTACTGAAATATCACCCCAGTCATTAACAAAAACTTACAAAGAACAGAACTAGAAACAGAAAGATCCAACATTATACATGGAAAGAGAGTGTGGTCGAAGAAAACAACAATCAGAGAACCTCACTTCTTGATGATACTCCAGTCTTTTCGAGGAATCTTTTGAAGATATTTAATCTTATTAAATAGCAGTTTATACCTAAAATATAAAGCGCTCAGTTCTCCTATCTTTATTCATTGTGCTTGAAAAACCCCGACTGTATCCAAACAGTTTCCCAGAAGTCAGCGTAAATACCCCTACATGAAAAAAGAAAGAGAAAAATTGAACTTCAGATGCACTTACCATAGTAGACCAATGATAGAACACATAGCAACGGAAATGTAATAGCCGTCAATGGCAACCTCACAAACATCACCTGCAGCTGTACATTTATCCGCGAGATCTTTCGTGTTGCATGCATAGAGAACCCTGAAACAAATGAACGTTAAAAATTTTATATACACGGCGTAGAAGTCATATTGCTAGTTCCCAGCGTTTCACAGAACACTGGCAGTTTATTTGCTTACTGGTCACCTATCAGTCTTACGTCATACACAGTTTTTTAAAAAGTTTGTCTAAATTTTCCGAAATACCTGTAATGATAATGGTATACAAAATGTTATGTTTACTCTGGGAAGAGAGGGAGTAGCGGAGTAATTAGTTATGTGGTGCATCAAGAAGCAAGATGCTGGTTCGACAGCCCATTCAACGCTCTCTTCCGCTCTAAGTCGAAACACCTTTGCTCGGTTATATCCAGGGCTACAAGGGGAACTGACGTGACCACCTTCTATGAAATTTATAAAGTAAGTGAAATCTTCAAGCAGCAATCGAAGCATCACGCGAAACGTTCGAAGACCTTTGTGGCGGGTGAGTACGAGGAAAATGAAATCGAATGCAAGTGATGGGATCCGCAGAGTAAATGTAATGACAGGTCATTCGATAAATATAATAAATAAATATATTTGCTGTGTTTACAATGAAAAGAACAATCTGCCCACTTATGTACGATCATCATTCAGTTCCACTGTTTCTTCCAGCAACGGTTCAATCCGATTACATGTTTGTGCAATTCTGTCTATCACTCCTTTCTACATAAGAATTCATGGAATAGAAAAAACCATAGCAGGAACGCCAATACACAATGGGGATGTGATGTAGCAGCTTTTGACCCCATAGATAGTTGACGTTTCGTTCTGCCAATTTTTCGTGAATGTTTTAACGATAAACTACTTCGACTGAAGGATTTAGCAAGAATGGTTCAAAATTCCAACGCAAAAATTAGGAGAGTACTTTAAAAGCAGCCCATTCCACTTCTCTTACACACCAACTAGAAAGGATACTGAGGAAATCGTAGAGTTATTAACACAATTGCACCAATGTTCATCGATTCAGATCCGTCTATTTCCAAGAAATATCTAGCTGTCCAATTTCGAACAAAGATGTTCAATTCTTTTCTAAGATATATAGATAGAAAGAAAAAAGTGACCACCAGTTGAAAGTAGACGCTCCCATATTCTAATACGATGAAATCCCAACTTCATGGAGCTCATAAAACGTAGCTTTTAACAGAGGTTCGTATTTTGAACAACGAAACTATTCAACAAGCGGAATGCTGCTCAGCAAAATGTGTTCATGTCCCAAATAGATAGTTGATATTTGCATCCGTCCAACTTCGATTTCAAATTTAGCGTCATTACAACTCGTTTTCAATTTTTTATGAACATTTTAAATTTAACATACAACGCACCAAATGGACGTGTATCACCATACATGGTACCCAGCGCCCAGTATTACCTCTATATAGGTCATTTTCTTTCTCATGATGTATTTTGGCTCAGGAAACCCTCTTTCTTATAATTCTCGCAACCCACTGATAAATCATCGTTAGATGATTAGATAGATCTAACGATGATTTATCAGTGGGTTGCGAGAATTATAAGAAAGTTGTGGCAGGTGTCAGCAGCGAAGAACTCAACTCTGCGCTTGGTAATTAAGAAAAAGCGTTCTTTGTAAACAGCATTTACTGTCAGGTAATTTTACAGCAATCGATTGTTGTTTCACCTGTAATTGGTACACTGAATCTTGGTTCCTGTGTTTGCACGGTGGACCACAGTAACATAATGTAAACAACAACATACATACTACTCATGCTCATGGGACGATACAGCAAAATCTCTTCTACAATTCTGCTACGTACACAACCACTCAAGTCCTCTAGTTATTCAGAAAGCTATTGCTTATTATCAAAAACTAGCAAGCGCATAAAAGCTGAAAATTAGGCGCAGTCCAACAGGCAGAGCCGCTATGTCGCGCGTCCGCTGTGTACTAAACAAGTTTAAAATTGAAGTAACGGTTTAAAAACTACCACAGGAGTCGTATAGTGAACTCCTGTATATGATGGAGGTCTATATTTTCGTAAATAATTTAGCTCTAGAAAAATTTGCTTGCTTGCAGTTGCTTAGAAACTACCACCGCAAATGCGTTAAATATTGAATCAAGAAAACCGTGAAAGTCTAAATAAGTATTTGAACGCAAAAGGTATAAAGACAGTATGTACTCTCCACATCTTCCCACCCATGCATGAAAGACTAGGTGAGTTTCACTACTGATCTTCTACTCAAGTTGTTGTACATGGAACGCTAACATTTGCCACTTCAACGAATTCAGGTTGCACCACTTGGTACTCAAATTAATCAATGAAAGATTCACATATTAGAATAGTTGTATTCGAGCAGTACACATTAAACCAGGCATAAGTGCCTAATAAGACAGGATAAAAAAGCTGCCCAGGTTAACAATGCATCCAAGAGTTCAGAAGTTTAAGGATTCATGGAAAAGACTGCTTTTATCGCACTAATCGTATAGACAATTTTTGTAAAGTGTTCTTTCGCGGGTAAACATGTTTTGAGGTGGGATTTTCAAAAAAATAAAAATTAAATTTAGAAGTGTTAAGACTTCTAACGGAACAGCTACAGCTGCAAACATGAACGATACATTTCAATGCACCATCGCTCGCGTCTTGCTAAACGAAATCCCGATTGGCCACTTCCTTTCATGTTGACAATATGAGAGTCGAAACAAAAAAAGTGAAATAAATATATGCCAGTCCAGAAAACTTAGGTTCCAAAAAACCAGAACTTCAGTCATCAAAACTTTTATCCCGAAGGGAAGAACTTGTGTACTCTAATAATTCTAATGCACTCAATAGAATTCACAACAGAGGTGAGATATGTTTATTTAAAGTTGAGACCAGCCATCATTCTCGAGCCATATGGCTACTGTAGAGGTCAAGTCGTCGCATCAGTGTTAAGGGCTGTTTGTAAATCGATTTCCAATGTAGTGCAGTACTTATATACATCTTCAATCAGATTCTCATCTATTACAAAATAAATTTTAATAGGTGGTGATAAAGCACTCCGAAGCCATGAACGTTTCACGTAAAGTACTTCGTACCTCATAAATCCAAAAACTCCAACGTAATGAAAAACCATGCAAAGACCTGTGCTATTTATTCTAATTTAATGAGCTTAGCCAAGTGTAAAATTTAAAAGTTTAAGTCGGCTAGTATGTAATGCAACGGTAATGCTTTTGATGAACCTACATTTGAAAACTGGCAAGAGCAAACAAAGCAAACAAGAATGACTAGGATCGCAATCTCTACGGGAAGACGTCAAATCACACGTCACCACTCGAAAACTTAAAAAATTGTAATGTGAAATTTCGTCTGATCTCACTTGATGCAACAGCATTTGCCAACCGATTACATTTCAGGAATCTAGACAAAAACCCAAGTTGTCAGTTTCGAAGTCCAAAAATTTTGCCTTGTTGAAACAAATAACACTGCCTAAAGCAGGTAAAGTTGTGTAGAATGCAAGCACATTAATTGGTATATGGACAAGAGATGAAGACTAAATATAGAAACTATATTTGATTCAATTTAAATTCGACACCCACTTCATGTGCTCAGTGTAGGTAAAGAAAACCTATCACATCCCTGTCTTAATGGAATGTCACACTAATTCAACAACAACAGGAAATGAAACAACTTAACTTGTTAAGGCATGACTTACTGTTTTGTCCCTTTGACAACGCAGTCTTTAAATGAAAACCAATCGGTTATCGATAGAATGAGAGTCACAGGCCAATTACCACCAAGATTGCTCAGCGTGTTCAGCATTGTCATATAGGTACCTCCGATTCGAGGATCAGACACTTGTGCATTGAATGCCATCATCGAAACAAACATGCAGTAAGAAGCCACCTTAAAAGGAAGGTCTCTTAAACTATAACAAAAAAAAATCTCAAGCTCTAATTACTTCAAGACTCCTTAATGAGAACACGAAATCGTGTTAAGTGATGAAATAAAATCAAGAACACATGCAAAACTACATTATTACTTTGTAGATAAAAACCTTCTACGGTACAGAATTTTGAAAAGATAAAATTTTAAAAAGCAACCAACTACTCGGCCAGTAAATAGAAACATATGAAAAGATACCCAAAAGGACTTACTTGGTGGAAGAGATACGCCAAAATCCACACAACGTATACAGTCTTACCAAATCTACCCGAATCATGTTTAAATGATGGTGTGAAGTAGACAAGGGCGGCGAAGATCCCTCCCACAAACAATCTGCAAAGGAATAAAGTAATATACGAACAATAGAAAACACTACTTCGCCAAAACTAACGAACGCTAAATTTACCGATAGGGATATGCCATCAAAAAAATGTTGAGAGGGCGCGGCCCGGCGGTCCATTTGCCAATCACCCATGGTAGCATAATCTGAAAATGAACAGATGAAGAGATATCAACTAATGTTTACTACAATCAAAGACAGTAGAAGGCGCACTTGCAACGGAGTCAAAAACAGTCCAATACTCGCTAGCCTGTCTTTCGGTATACCGATTTCAATGAGCTTCAAGCCAGTAATTCCATCTGTAGCTGCGAAGGCAATCTACAACAGGTTTATTCTTGTGGTTAAATATGTGTGCGGATCCTGGTTCTAATTCCTCCACACCTTTCCAGTAAGCAGAATAATAAGCATGTAAACCATAGGTTTCAGCTTGAGAATTTTCCAGAGGACACTATAAGTCTCTACTATACCGAGCTCGAGTTCGTTCTCATCACCGATGCTGTTTCCTCTGAAGTGTTCATTAAAAAGAACCAGGCTTAAGAAATGAAGAGCACAAACATAAACAACTTACGACGAAATTTCTACAGATTTATCTACCTCCTTCTTGAAAATCAAAACCAGTGTAGTGGACACAATGAAGACCCAACCCCAGAAGAAAAGGAATCCTGTAAAGAATCATTCAAAAACACCTAATAGTTCAATGTAAAAAGGATGTACGTATAGATATCACTTTCTACAAATTTATAGGTAGGCAGAGATACATGATAGCATCAAATGAGTTACAAACCTGATAGGTCAACTATACCATAAGGCTTTTGATTATAAGCCGACCGAAGAAATGTGTTCGCAAAATCAGCCGATTCCAACGACAAAAATACTACGTTTCCTAGAAAATATCCCGTCGTTTGACCAACGGCATTGCAAGTTGATGCATAACCGACATTTTTCCTATAATAAGAGATCCACGAGGTGAGACTATTAATTGCATCCTTGAATAAATCAATATGCATACAAACAATAGGGCCTACACAGAAGAAGTAACACAGCAGTTGATACCTTGATAGAATGGTTAAAGCCCAACCATCCACAGCAATATCCTGAGTTGCAGCGAGAAAATTCAATGGTAAAAACAACAGCATGAGGACGAAAACGTTAGGGCCGGATTCTAAAATAATATAGATACGTTACTACAAAGAATTTCTGAGTGAGTGTTGTGTTCCAGATTTACATAGACATGAATTCTCCACAGGGCGCGTGTAGCGCAGCGGTCTAAGCCGCCCTGCCATACACATGAGATCGATCTCAGCGGCAAAGGCTATCCCTTTATTAATTTCCCATGGAGAAAGCTATGTTAAGTTGACAAAAAGCAAAGATAACTAGACTATAAAAAGTGGAGAACAGATTAACAAGAAAATTAACCACACAGAGTAATAGCGCGTTCGTACCCCACCGCAGACACCTGCGGTCCAGAGTTTCGCAAATATCTCAGCATCGTTGTGATTGTATTTCACACAATACGTAAAGATTGTAGTAGGCAGAAAATGAGAAGTAAACACTGTAATTTCGTCTACAACCTCAGCTTAGTTGGGTTCTATGCCGATGTGGGCTCCCCAGATCAATCCCGTTGACGGGTGACTGCTGATGGCGCTGATCTATAGAACTAGCTGAAAGACAGGCGAAACGAAAAACCCGCATGGTGTGCTGGTGAACGCACTAGCCCCTGGAAAGGGTAATAGTGCGTTCGTTTCCCAATTACAGTTACTTTTTATAGCGTTTTGCACCAACGATCGTATGGTCACTATAGCCTCCATATTTAGCTTGGTTGGTTCCAGAGCTTTTTTTACCGCACTATATACATTCCCCTGAATCAAAAGAAGATCGACGTAGGAAAGATGAGACCAAAAAAGACCATTCTGTACACTTAATGATTTACAAAAAAACGTTCTATCGAAAAATTCATCGCTCGCTAATGAGAATAACAACTAACTGTTACCTAATTTTAATTACTATGGTCATTGTACAGAATGTGCTGATGTGCAAAAAACCGAAACAGACGTCAAATGGATCAGAGATTCTTCGATATCCTGATAGAAATGTGCTTGCATAATGGACCACAGCAACATACAGTAAATAGTAACATTATTTCATACATACTCATAGAATGTTACTAATCGGTCGCCGTTAATGAGAATAACAACTACACTGTAAAATCACTTCTACAATTCTGTTATGCTCAGGAGGCTCCAAAGCATTCCAGTTATCGAAAAATCGTTTTTTATCGTCAAAAAACCATGAAATCTGCAGCCCAAAATTGCCCCACATTCGATTGGGCCAGTGAAATGGTGCCAGGGGGTTATGGGTTAGCTATCGTAGAAGTGAATGAGTGCAGGCTTGCCTTTTACAGCGACTTGTAGTGGTGCATCGATAAATATATAGCAACTTCGAGAAATTTACTTTTACTAAAGCAAATTCATATATGATGCAGCACAAACGGCTTAAGCTAAAGTCAAGGGGCAAAAAAGTGTTAACAAATCCCCAGTGCAATGTTGGTTGGAAAGATTTTGTCGCGGAGAATTCAACCTTGACGATGAGGGAGATCAAAGGTGCCCTTCTGCTATTGACGGCGATAAACTGAAGGCTTTGATGAAAGCAAATACAATAAAACTTCTCCAGAATTTACAAAAGAACTCGATATAAGTATCTCTACTGTTTCGGAGCATCTAAGTTTGAAAACCGAATAACCCTGAGCAACGGATGCTACACAAATTAGCAACACGTCATAGCATCGACGAGCGCCCACATTTCCCACAACCGACGTTGTAAAAGTTGCGCGAGTAGGACTACGAAACTATGCGTTATCCATCGTCCTTGCATGTCCACTTGCCCACGAACTACCACTTCCCAAGAACCTTGACAATTTTTTGTGCGAGAAACGCTTCAGAAATCATGCCGATTCCGAAACTGTTTTCAGCGACTTCATCTCCTCCACAATTCCAGAGTTTTAAGCAAAAGGCATGGAAAGATTTAATTCTTGCAGATAGAAATCTATAGATTCTAAAGATTTCTATTTCGATTTATATTTACTTACTTGGATACTTAGATGCCCCGTCTTCACTGGTTGTGCGGGTACAGCAAAATTTCCATTTTTCCGCAGTTTTGCCGGAGCTAGCTATTGTGGTTCCCGGGAGTCCTGAGGTCAGCCAGGCCAAAGTTTGCCCCAGGTCGTCACCACTACAGGCAGTTACCGCCCTCGTGGATCAGAGGAAGGTTTGCCACCATGCGACTAGTTTGCTACCAGGACAGTGATGGATTCTGGTATTGGTTTATCCTTAGCTGGGCTTCATAATGGAAACCCCGAACACCTCAGCTTTGGGAGACCCTGCTGGTGGGATCAATTCCCCGCTGTACATCGCAGCCTAATATCCAGAAACACCCCCAGCGAAAATGAGGTAAACCGTCGAGCGGATTTCGAATAATACAATTTATAATTAGCTAAGGTATGCCACCTTAAAGAATGCAAGGTGGAATCATGTATTGATTACCGAACAACTTAATACAATTCTTTCAAACTTCATGCAACGCATTCAAAGTAGATCCTGATCTTTATCAAACTTTATCAAAATAAGCACCAGTATCCACTACCTGTTCCATCTCCCATGATGTATGAAACCCTGAACGACAGGAGAAGCATAAACATTCCAATGAGATACTGACAAGGAACCATCCACGATTTCCGTCGACCAATACGTCGCCAGTAGACTGAATCGACTATAGGTGCCCATAAGAGCTTCAAGCTGGAAAAAGAAGCAAAAGATTGCCTTGTAGGCGGAGTCTGAATATAAGAAGTAAGACGCACCTAAACGGCCAATAAGCAAAGGAGAACACTGCTTGTTGCCCATAAGAAACATGCTTTCCTTGTAATACTAAGGGAATAGCAGCAATTATTCCAAGCGGCACACCCTACAACGTGTAAGATTTAAAAAGCAGCTCACTACACCGAGAAACAAATCATTACCTGCAATAAGTAGAGGAATAGTAGAAGACATATAGAAGAGATATCTCCACGAAGCGTATCGCGTGTACGACTGAACCAGTTTCCAGTGGAGTCTACGGACTGAAATACTCACTATGAGAAGCTTTAAGAGGATAACGTTGAAAAACAGTAATCACAATATCAACTTATGGAAATCATAACCAATGTTCATTTATTATCACTGTATAGCGCAAAATTATATTTCTATAACTAACGGGGTCTCTATAATAAAGACTGTCCTCGTCATCACTCTTATCCACTGGATTGAATATCAACGGCACGTGAGAACCCGCATTCGAGAACGAGAAGTCTGGCTCACTAGCCATCACATCCTGACTGGAGAAATGCCGCTGGTGATTTCTCCGTCGTACCTGCTTCGCCATGACTAGAAATCGAGCACTCGCCGACTTGGAAAATACATATAGCCAATCAGTTAGTTATTTGAAAAGAATAATGAGCACAATAAAAGTCAACCAATCGTGTCTGTATGACCTTCAGCAATTTTGAGCTTTTAGAAAGTTCGAGAGAAAAAGAAAAGAAATGGCTGCTACCCCGTGGTGCAAATGAAAGAGATTACTTTGTTTCAGCTGAAGTCCACACATCTTGGAAAGCACGGCAATGAACAGTTACTTAGTGGTTCTTCCAGGAATGTTTTTATGAATCGCTTTTAGCCTGTAACTGTTCTAAACACAATGTAGCTGTTCACAACACAAAACACATCATACTTCCCATTCAAGCTTTTAGGTCTTTCCAAAGTGCATTTTTTGGTACAATACGACTAGTTTTAAAAAATGAACAGGAAACTAGAGAAATTCCTAGCTATCCTCATGTAAATACTTGAACGTAGTAAATTACCATATTCATAATCGGGTTGACTCTTAAGAGCAATCTGCTTAATTAAAAAAAGCCAGCACACCTTTAGCCTGATTCTGACTTTCGTCATTATTAAGCAACGACCCATTTTAGAACATCTTTAAAAGGTGCTGTGAAGGAGCCGTATTAGACGCTACATAAAGACATGAGTAAATCTTCTGATTTCTTTACTTCTAAAACAGTAGAGAAATTCATACCAATGAAAGACAAACACTCAAGTTTGTATGTTAGCATCGAAACAAATCTAAACAGGAATAAACACCAAGATATTGTTTTGAACATAGTCTTTCTATTTCTTTCTATTTCTAGTTCTAGTTTTGCAAGTTCTTCGCACTTATGGAGTCAATGGTTTTTTCAACACATTAGCAATAGGATATCCCATAATGGGACACAAAGCCCACAATATCCGTGAAGACCAGGTGCCACAAGCGATAGGTTCTAAGGGGTGTTTCGCAACTGCTATTTCATAGTGAATCGAAAGTGGTTCCTACAATAACTGAGTAAACACTGTCGGCAAACTCAATTTGGTTCAATACTTTCAGTTCTTCCAGAACCAAAATCACTCTACTTTGTAGAAGCAATCTTTCTTCAATTGCATTTTAATGCTAAATATTTCACGCCAAATCACTGGCCCTCATGAAGAGATATTGTCTGCTTTCTCCATCCAATCAAAGTTACACACTGTTAAAGCCTCAAACAATAAAATGTTCAGGCCGTTTACGGAAAAGAATATACCTACGAGTTAATGGCTAACATATGAGGTGAATCACTTAATGGTCGAAGTAAAGACTTAAAAACCTCACAACATTGCGAGCTGTTAAAAAAAGCTCTGCTGTTCTCTATCGCTACGGAGCTTCCTGTGAACTTCCATTCAATAACGCGCCTTCCTGCTAGTTTCCTGAATGACAACGACATGGTTCGTTCGTTCTTCAAGTGGAGTGCTTGCTTATCGATGCTAAAGGATAAAGGATAAAGCTCTCGGCGATGATCAATCCTTGAGGGATGCGCCATGCATTCAACTTCATTAAGCATCGTTGGAGGTGACTCCAATTGAAGACTGAATGCATATCTAGCCTTTAGAATGAGTCGCGGTGGCCTACCGATGAATGAAGCCAATGCTGCTATCCTACTAGATAAGTTTGGTATCAATTTTCCGACCTTGAAGAGATGGAAGGCTTGGTGAGCCTGGAGCGCGGGGATCAATCCCATGTGCACTGAAGTCGCCTCCGACCACTGCACCACACGCGCCGTTTTATCGATACTAGTGAGGAGATATGTTTGTTTGTTCAGCAAACATTCGATCAGCTTCGTGTCAACAGAATCGTCCAATTCGCCAATTCTAGAGCAATAGCTATTGCGTGCGCATATGTATTTGTAACTGCATTGCAAAAAATTTAAAAATCATGATTCTGCCGTTGCCCATGAGCTTCAATAACCCCTTAGCATTTGGAAATCCACGACACCCATCTGGACACATAAACCGGAGTTTAAGAAACATCACCAATAAATTCTTCATCATTCTGGCACCATATGGCATCTGCGTATCCTTTTCTCGTCCATATCTTTTGAAGTTGTTGACAGTTAAGTTAGGAACATCCGCATTCAAGAATATACCGCAAAAATCGACACAACCTTAACATTGTGCCAAAGAGGTTTCATGCATGTCCCGATTACTGGCAAAGGTTCAAGAATCATTCATAAACAGTCTTCCTGCAAAAATCCGGTCCTATGTAACGTTTACGACTTTTGTTCTGCATTTTTTCAACTCCATAAACCTCTACGAAGGAACCATTACTCTTGTCATGCTCATCAGCCTCTTCCCTTTCCTGAATTGTGGGCCGAAATTAAAATTTGGCTCTTAGCACAGTTCTTGAGATCCCTTGCAGAAAAAGACAATAAAGTAAATCGCAAAACTAGATGGTACGATTAAAGGCGGGTCCCTCTTATAAGTTTGTTGAAAGTATACCTGTGTTGTCTGTGTTTTGAACTACGGCAAAGGGTCTTTGCACCAATATCGGCGTAGGCAAACAGGTTTCATCCATCGGTTTGTGAAAAGAAATAGATACTCTGACCGCAAAATTACGCGAAATTGCACCAGGACTTTCGAAAATTTCGTTTTCCGCATAACGCATAGTCCAAAAGATTAGACACTTCGAAAAACATTGAACTAATAAAAGGATAAAGCTCTCAGCGTTGATCAATCCCTGATGGATGCGCCATGCATTCGACTTCATTAAGTATCGTTGGAGGTGATTGAATGCATATCTGGCCTTTACAATGACTCACGGTCACCTACCGATGTATCGAGCCAGTGCTGTTATCCTCCCAGACAAATCTGGTACCAACTTGCCGAACCCGGAAGGATGGAATGCTTAGTCGGCCAGGAGCGCGGGAATTGATCCCGTGTGTATTGCATGGCGCCTCCGACCACTGCGCCACACGCGCCACATTGTACTACTACCACCACTCCAGCGATTTTTACGCTGTAAAATCAGACCCGGGTCAACAGACGTACACTGATTAATGGGCATGGAAAAGCTATGTTGGGAAAGACGTTAGATAATGTGAACGTCATTTGCAAATCTCATGAAACAAATAACCTCGGCTGCATTTAGCTGAAACGACAGTCACACAAGTCAAGTCAGTTCAATAAAATGGTTCGGGACAGCCACAAAGACGATCGATATGGGAAGGACATAACCGAGCTTTTTAGAACCGTTACGAACAAAAGCACGCTAGGCAACTGACCTAGAAATGATTCGTCGTCTACATTGATAAGAACACCACACATGATAATACGCAGACAACCAGACGGAGCCAAAGGAGGCGGAATGGAAAACCAAAATTCGAAACGTAACCTGCGCGAAAGCGAACCACTGTAGGAGCAAAAAATAGAAAGTAATTGAAAAATGGAAAGGCCGAAAACTGAAATGGAAAGGGGGGAAGTGGAACAAAAACGGACGATCGTCCTCAAACTGAGCGAGAGCTCCCGGTGCACAATGGAAAACGAAAACTGACAGAACAAAGTAGGACCAACTGAAAAGAATGAGCACTGGAAGACTTTTAAATCCGTGACAACCATCTCTGGGAACGCGTAAAACGAAGGTGTTGCATTCGTAATCAGTCGTGTCGTCAGTGAAATAGTAATCGAATGTGGTCGGCCGTCACCGCAGTGTTTTAAGGTGCACGTTTTCACAGAACGAAGAGCGGAAGCTGAGAGATGTCTCACCAATATCGTAATTCTAGTCGGTTAGTCCATATATAGAACACGTTATTTAATCTATAAAGTGTAATGGTAGTAATCCAGTGGTGGCAATGATTCATACATCGTCACTGAGATGTCTCAGCAGTGAGTACCTGTTCGCTGAATTTCAAGACACTATAAATTAGTGACTAAGACAGGATAAAGGACAAAGGCGTTCGGCGCTAACCAGCCTGTGAGGAATGCGTCATGGATTCGACCTCATGTAAGCATCACTAGAGGTGATTGAATGCATGTCTGGCCTTTGCAATGACTCGCGGTGGCCTACCGATCTCAGAAGTACAAGTCTGACAGCAATTTGTCGATACCGGAGGGATGGCTGGCTCGGGGAGACCAGGCGCAGGATCGAAAATGATGTCATCATTTAAGACGGGGTTCATTGATGCAGTTCCGTTCACCTTTCATTGTTTTTTTGCACTGTGCATGTGGTTATGGTAAGTATAGAGAAGTCTGTATGGGGAAGTAGCAGCGCTCAATCATGGTTATTTACGAGTAATCGATCATTCGAGCTTTTTTCATACGGTATGCCATTTCTCGTAATTGTAGTAGATTTAGACTTCTCCACAACCGAAACCACAAAGGGAGTTAAAGAGAATTTAAAAAAAAGAGCTTAGTGACCCACCTTACACTGGTCAACTTGTGATTCAATAAACGCTTGCTTCGAATCATTCATGGTCGAAGAATGTAAAACAGCAGATAATGAGATGGCTTCCTTTGCGGCTGTTATCGTTCGGGAATCACGGACAGGTTGCCACTATTAATTACAACAGATGCCGGTCTATGGGCAGGTGACTGCGTCGCATCGTCAACTCCACTCAACCAGTAGGACAGAGTCAGGACGGAAAGCCATTCGGCGTCTGAAGAGGTGGTTCGCGACGCCTTCATGCGAGATGACGACAAGATTGATAGCGCGACCGATTCAACTGATACAGCAGAGGTGCACGTGACAACACTAGCCAGCCAAACGATCAGACCGAAACAGGCAGTCCTATCCCCAGGGTTGTTTAATATTGTAAACATGAAGATCGAGGTTTACTAGGGCGATATGTCACAGAGTTATTCATCGTCACTCTCGAAAACGGAAGGTGAAAACTGGAATGCGATGACATGGAAGTTCAAGTCTATGGCTGGAGGAAACGGTGAATGCGGTTTTGAGGAGGTTCCTTGGTTGGTTAAAATCTCGTAGGCGAACAGAATCCGTCAGAGCCCTTTGTGTCGCGCAATATCGTGTGAAAAAGTGTGTTTCGC